CCCTGGCCTGGCGCTCAGCTGCATCCTGTTCACACCCCAGCTACTACCATCATCTCCAAGCCTGCCAGAGAGAAGCATTCCCTTTCCAGCAGCCTCTGAGCCGGCACTAGGGTGACCAGATGAGAGGAAGAAAATATTGGGACACATTGGGGGAAGGGGGTGTCTGCCGGCGGAGGAAGGAAAAGAAAAGAAAAGAAAAAAAAGCCGAATGCTGCCGGCGGAGCAAAAACCAGTGCTGCCGGTGGAGCGAAATATCAGGACAAACACCTAAATATCGGGATGTCTGGTCACCCTAGCCGGCACCGTGGTGGCTGACCCTGGGACATGTCTACACTACAGCCACATCAGCGGCACAGCTACGGCACTGCTGCGGTGTCACTGGAGCACAGACACTTCCTACATCAGCAGAAGCGGGGGTTCCATTGATGTAGGTAATCTACCTCCCCAAGAGGCAGTACCTACGTTGATAGAAGAATCCTTCTGTTGACCTAGCCACATCTACACCGAGGGTTAGGTCGACCCAACTACAGCACGTAGCTAGGTTGGTCTAATTTTTGAGTGTAGAGCAGGCCTGAACGTGGGTAGGAGAGAGCAAGGACATGGGCGTGCAGAAGGAGGAGAGAAAAGCCTCATTTCTCCAGGTGCACAGACAGTATCACAGAGACGTTGTGCCCTAGTCACTGTGCCCGGCAGAACCTTCGTGCTGGCATAGCCAGTACAAACGGGCTATATGGCAGCTGCATGGCCCTGAGGGCACCTTCTAGAGGAACATCCCTGTACCTGGTCCCCCTGCACGGGGCACTGTGGGGTGGGCAAAGAGCAGGCAGGAGGGTACAGGCCAGAAAGTTATGACATCCTAGAGATTCTGCAGACACTACAATGGCCCACAGATGGCTGCCCTACCCTGCACCAGGACTGAAATGAGCCCCGGAGCAGGGGGCATAATTGCCTCTCCTCTGGCTTAGGCAGGGCTGAATTCTCCCGACCGTCCCTTTTCTAACAGGAATGTTGGTCTCCAGGCCCTGCTCCATTGGTAAGTCACCGTGTCCCTTCGGCACAGCCCTGGGACCAATTTCTTTCATAGTGCCAGCTAGCTTTAGTGAGTCAGACGTTCATAGATTCCCAGGCCAGAAGGGACCACTGTGATCATCTGTAACACCGGCCAGAGACCTGCCTCCAAGTAATTCCTAGAGCAGATCTGTGAGAAAAACATCCACTCTTCAGTTTCAGTGATGGAAAATCTAGCACAGCCCCTGATAAATTGTTCCAATAGCTAATTACCCTCACTGTCAAAAATCTACGCTAGGAAGGTGGTGAAGCACTGGAATGGGTTCCCTAGGGAGGTGGGAGAATCTCCATCCTTAGAGGTTTTTAAGGCCCAGTTTGACAAAGCCCTGGCTGGGATGATTTAGTTGGGGTTGGTCCTGCTTTGAGCAGGGGGTTGGACTAGATGACCTCCCTAAGGTCCCTTCCAACCCCAATCTTCTATGATGATTCTATGATACGCCTTATTTCCAGTCTGAATTTGTCTAGTTTCAAACTTCCAGTCATTGGATCATGTCAGACCTTCCTCTGCAAGACTGAGGAGCCCAGTATTAAATATTTGTTCCCCAGGTAGCTACTTATAGACTGTGATCAAGTCACCCCTTAACATTATTTTTGTTAAGCTAAATAGATTGAGCTCCTTGAGTCTATCAGGATGAGGCAGGTTTTCTAATCTTTTAATCATTCTCTTGCCACTCCTCTGAACCCTCTCCAGTTTATCTTCATCCTTCTTCAACTGAGGACACCGGAACTGGGCACAGGATTCCTGCAGTGGTCGCAGCAGTGCCATGTACAGAGGTGAAATAACCTCTCTGCTCCTACTCGTGATTCCCCTGTTTATGCATCCCCGGGATCCCATTCGCCTTTTTGGCCACAGTGTCACACCGGGCGCTCGTGTTCGGCTGATTATCCACCGCCTGCAAAAGCTTTTTAAGAGACACTGCTGCCCAGGCTAGAGTCCCTCAGCGCGTATGGACGGCCTACCCACTTTGTTCCTAGATGTAACATTTACATGTAGCGTCAGGCTAATTTACCAAGCGATCCAGATCACTCTGAATCAGTGACCTGTCCTCTTCGGTATTTAACACCCCCCCCCTTCCAATTTTTGTGTCATCTGCAGACTTTATCAGTGATGATTTTGTTTTCTTCCAGCCCCCTGATAAAAATGTTAAGTAATGTAGGACTAAGAACCGATCCCCAGGGATCCCACGAGAAACCCACCTGTTCAATGACGATTCACCACTGACAATCACATTTTGAGACCAATCAGTTAGCCCGCTTTTAACCCCTTTAATGTACGCCAAGATACTCTTCTCTCTCTCTAGTTTTGAAATCAAAATGTCACACGGTACCAAGTCAAACACCTCACAGAAGCCTAAGTCTATTACGTCAGCACTGTCCCCTTTTACTCCCTGCCTGGGCTGCAGGCAGCACTCTGGAGGGGCTGGTGGAAACAGACAAGGGAGCACCCAGCGGGGTGACCCTCCGTGGTTCCACCTGGTCACCAAAGCAATCGGCTGGAGGTTGGCACAGTACAATGACACTCTGCACTCTTCCCCTGTACATCTGCTCCTCCCCCAAAGCCCCTCACCCTGCCCTGTAGCTGCCCACCCAGCTCCACGCACAACTCTGCGGATGCCTCAGTCCTCAGCTGCAGGCAAAGGGGGGTTCTGCACCGAGGACCAGGATGTAGAATGTTCCCATTAACTGATGATTTAATCCAGACATGCCCACAGTGATTAACCAGAGAACCAGCCCGCAGATCTTTGGGCCCTTCAATGACCACAGCCGACAGAGAACAGAAAAAACGTGACTCACACTTAATCTTTTACAGCAGAAAAACCACCAGATCCAAATCCCTGACGCCTCCAGCCAGGTATCACAGCACACCCACCCCTACCTGCAGCACATGACTCGGGTTCCTTTAGAAGGAGCTGTGAACAGCAAGACACCGGGCTCTGTCTGACCACTGGGAAGACCAAAGTGACCCCCTGAGCCCATTTCTGGGCCCTTCCTGCCACCCCCCCAGGACTGTGGAGGGCAGAGCTGCTCCAGCCAGAACCCTCAGCAAAGCCCAGTGGAAATCACGCTGATTCAGCTGTACTCCAGTCGCAGTGCAGCCCCTCTCCAGTGCCCGGCAGAAGGGGTTAATCATGGAGTTCTCGGGGATAAACAAAGTGCCAGCGGAGAGCGAGGGAGGGCCATGCTAGCTGGGACCCTGAGGGAGAGTTCTCCTCGCTGCTGAGCAGTGAGTGGGACTGGCAGACCTTGACTTTCTGTGCCTGCAGGAGGCTCTGGTCCTGGTGGTCTCTCCTGTGCTTGTATCTCTCTGGTTCGCCCAGGGCCTGCCTATCTGCTGAGGAATGTGTGATTCCCTCGAGAGTCTCCAGGCAATTGCAAGTGAAACTTTATCTCCAAGAAGCAGCAGCTAAGATGGGAGCTGGCACGAGTGTGAGTGGGCCTGAAGAGATGGGAGGAGGGGGGCAGTGGAACTGGGGGAGGAGGCTGGAAGGCCAGACGAGTTGCGGGGGAGCAAGTGAAAGTTATTCATTCCTGGGAGACCCTCTTCTGCTGCTCTCCCCTCCCTGCCACAGTAAGAGACCAGATTGCAGCCACTCCTAGCAGTACCTCGGTTAGACATTGCTCCCTAATTTGGACGTCCTGTTACAGTCTAAAAATAATCCCTTTGGATCGCAATTCTCCCTAAGAATGGACTCCCCTTCAGACCTTGCTGGCGCAGGGAGGGACTCTGCCCACCTATCCTTTCGCCACCTGTTCTGATTGGCTAGCGCAATCCTGCCCTGCAAAGCTAAGGGCTGCTGGCATCCTTGAGTTGCCTGACCCACAGGTGCCGAAATCAGGCAATGCTGGGACCCCCTAGCCAGTCGGGGGCGAGCCTTCCACTTGGCATTTCCCAGGTGAAGTGCAGATTGGCTGGGAGATCAGCATGCATGGCGGGCACTGAACATGGAACACGCCCTGTCTGTGTGTGCTCGGGAGTGCAAGGGTGGGTCAGCCTGGCCACGGCACACACCAGCGGGCACCCAGACCCGGGCACAAATGGGCAGACTGGCTCAGAAAGACAGGAGCGCACATGTATGAGCAGAAACTTAACTAGAAGGAGCAGGTGTTCACGGTGCCCCCAGGCACATGGACAAGCAGTCCAAGCAGGCTATGAACAGGGACCATGGTGATGGGAAATCAGCAAACGACAGAGAGAGGCGTATGGAGATCAGCCAGCCAGATCCATGTTTAGAACCAATGGCAGCTCTCAGAGATCATGAAGAGCCTGCAGAATGAATGGAAGGGACTGGATCGTGCTGCCCAGTGCAGGCAAAGCTCCCCATAGGAAGAACGAAGGGGCAGTGACTAGCCGCACACACACACACTGCTGCAGCCCTCACAGTAAGGCCCATCTGTTGATCTAGGCAGAGTGTGCTCCCTCAAGCCTTTGTTTGGGCTGGTCTCCTATTGTTCCCCTCCCTGGCTGCGGAGGGCACGGTCAGGTTGACAGAGCTGCAGATTAAAGCTACGAATCCTAATTCCTCACCCTGAGCAATGCCCACAGAGCCCAGGTTCCCCCACCCGCCTCCAGTGCCAGGAACCGGGGCCCACAATATCTCCTCCAAATCCTAGTCACCGAGAGTTTGCCAAAGAGTCACTGCCCGGCAGGCAGGTGCTGGGAACGGCTGATGCAGCAACGGAGCAGGAAGCTGGGGAGGGAGCAGCCAAAGGATACGTGGTGCCCTCAGACAAAGCCACTGCGCAGGGTAGGTTTGCTAACCGCATGTGAAAGAATCTGTGCCAGCCAACCTCCCTCTGCCTGCAGGAGAAGCAGCATTCTGAGGCACCTCCAAGAGCCAGGGGGCTGTGCCCTATGTGCCCTGGCCTAATACAATCACAGGTTCCCACGCTAAGGACGCAGCATCCTAACAAAAGCGAAGAGAAATGGTTACCTCTGCAGACGGTCCCGTTCTCCACCGATTCGTAGCCAGCCTTGCACATGCACCGTCCAATGGGCACCAGCCACTCCCCGTCCCCATTGCAGTACAGCTTGATGGGGACATCCACCTCCTCTGCGTTGGTAATGCACGACCCCCTGGCCGCTACCAGCGAAGTGCTCTCTGCTCCCGAGAGCGTCTCCTGAAACACGGCCCCGTTCTGGATCACTCGGGGGCACTTGCGGTAGAAGACCCGGACAGCGATTAAGGACATGCAGCCCCCATAGTCCTGGAACGCCAGATAGAATCCGTTCTTGGAGACCGGCCCGAAGCTGCGCACCTCGGTGTTGATCTTCATCACGCGGCCACCCAGGTCCACCTGGGAGAAGCTCTCATCAGCCGCAATGGTGTCCACCTTTGCCCAGGGGTTCTCCATCCAGTTGGGAAAAGTCTTGGTGGCCGAGTCAAAGTCAGATTCGAAGTAGTAGAGATTGAAGGTCTCCTTGCAGGAGCCGGGAACGCTTGGGATGCTGCTGCAGTCCCGGACGGAAAATTTCATCTCCACGTGGATGCGGTGAGCTCCTCTCCTCCGTATGTATTTGGTCCGCAGCCAGTTGTTCTGATTGGACTCAAAGACGTTACACACCTGGTACGTCCGGATCGTGTTCATGTACTCGTCGTATCCGCTCACCTCTTCCCACTGCGGATGGGACACAAAGAGTCAGTGGGCTGCATTGCATTTACATTCACTGGCAGTTAGCTTGGGCCCGTTTATGTACCTGGTGGGGGCACAGCTCTGCCTCCCCCCCCCGCCATCCCCTGACAGGCAAAGGCTCAGGCTGCCTGGGGGGGAGGAGAAGCCAGTTTCAATGTGGGGTCAGCTGCATCGGTACAAACTGCGCTGCACTAGGGTCAATTGTGTCGACACTAGGGCTCTGCCTAGGTGCAGCCACCCCAGGGTCTAATGCCAACGTACACTGAGTCCCTCCCAGTCTCCGGGCTCCCTGAGCCAGGGCACACGCCTCAAACGCTTCATGCTCATCTAATGCGCCACGCAGGCCGGTGCTGGGAATGGCTGATGCAGCGAAGGAGGGAGCAGCTGAAGGATACACGGTGGTGCACTACCCTGCCACTGCCGGGCCAGGACAAAGCCACCACACAGACCAGGGGCTCTATTCTCCCGGGTGGTTACTTGGTTTCCACTCGCGTTAGTGGGAGATACGTGCACTGACTGGCAGAGGAGACTCTCCAAGGATCATTAAAGTACCTACGTGTGTCTAGCACAGCCTGGGCTCTGGTGGAGGGGCTCTCCCCTCCCGGCCCATTCCACTGTCACAGGGGAAAGGGTTACTTGAGATTTTAAAAAGTAAATTGCAAAGAAACCCATGAAGGGCCAGAGTCTCCATCACCCTCCCCCGGAGCCGTCACTCACAGCTGGGCAAAGGGAGTGAATGGCAGCGGTTCACCATTGCACTGGTACAACTGACGGCCCGAAGAAGGGCAATGGAGTCAGACTCCAGGGGTGAAATCCTGGCTACACGGCAGTGAATGGAAAAACTCCCATTGTGCCTTTCAACGCTCCTTTACGATGGAGGCAGAGGTCTCGGGAATTTACTGGGCGTTTCCATATTTTTTTCTCCAAGTAAAATGCCGTCTCAGCCCTGCATCTCCCTGTCTGTGCTGGGGGCCTGGTGAATAACCTCATCCGGAGCTCTGCCTCCTGTCCCCACCCTGAGATGGGACGATGTGGAGTCGTAGAGGCCGCTGCACCAACCCAGCACTGCGCTCTGCATGGTCCAGAGAGAAAACTGGGGCTGTAACATCATCGTCTACTTTCCTTTTCTGACGCTGAGTGCGAGAACGTGCCTGCGCTGTGCCAGGTGCTGCAGCAGCAGGAACCGTGCAGCCCAAAGGCCTCTGTTCCACACAGAGCAGACACCACGGGGGCAGTGCAAGCTCCCACTCCGCCCACAAGCTTGGCCTGAAGCCTGGGGTCGACCGTGGAATTTGGGCTCCGGGGCCCATTGCTTCCATGAAAGGTTCCGTTAGTGCCATGTGGGACCGCTCCTCATAGAACGGGGATGCCAGGAACTAGCCTGAGATCTGCCGGCTCATTTTACACAAGGCATCAGCCTGGGCCCGACTCAACCAGCAGCCAAGACATGAGACGCTCCAGAGCCCTTGACTGATCCCTGGCCCAACAGTGCAGCATGTGATGGCTGCGCTCTTGGCCAGCACACAACTAAAGAGCCAAGCTTCCTGGCTCGGGCTGTCACAGACTCCTGTCCTCTGGGGACTCCCCGAGGGGACCCTGGGAGACACCCCCCAGCGGGTTACAAGGACACGTTTTCGGAGGCCCCGGGCCCCCAGGAGGTGGGCTCTGCTAAAGGAAGGAGCTGCCCCGCCAGCCCCTCTTTGCCATTAGCGTATCGGTGCAGTATTTCCTTCTCGCTCGCAGCCCCGCTCTGCCAGGAAAGGCATCCTGAGCCTTTGCAGGATCTACCCAGGGTGGGGCAGGGGGCACCTTACACCCCATTACACCCCAGCCTTCCCTGAACAGCCTGCACAACTCTGGGTGGGCGAGAGCAGGCCTACACCCCACTCTGCCGAGACAAGAACTCGTGAGCCTCGCAGAGCGCATCCCGTTCCTGACGAGGAGACGGGGCCGCCCTGCTCACCTCCAAGGGGCATGGCCAGCCGGGCCAGGCCTTTGTTGGTTGTAGCTTCGCTCTCCGCTGACTGGGAGACCATCATCTGGGAAGCTGAAACAGATCCCACCCCGCCCCACGCCCGCCATCCACCTGCCCCCCACCTGGGCTTTGGCCTTGTCAGGATGGTGAACCTCACTCACTCTCCCCTTCCAAGCTGCCCTGCTCCTGCGCTAGCATTCCTGGGGCGCTTGCACGGCTCCCCGGGACGTGCCGCGCCCGCTGCACTCGAGGAAAGCTCTGGGCTAGGCAGTGTAGGTCCAACCCAAACAGGGACTAGCGTTTTGACTTCTCAGTGCCAGGCTGGGCAGGGTTCACACACATCGCTCAGGGCATTCGCCACCCAGATTAGACCCGTGTTAAGATGCTGAAGGAGAACGATTCACTCCAAATTACTTGTCAGGGCTCCTTTCACTGCCCAAAATGGAGCAGAAACCCCAGTTAACCACTTGGCCCCTAGGCTGAGGCCTGGCCTCCACCTTGTCTGCAGGGAGCTGCTCTGGTTTGTGAACAGGGTTTGCTGCCCAGCACCCTGCTCTGTTCCCAGGAGATGGAAGGGGTGTGTGTGCCTGGCATTCTGGGGGCTGTGTGGTGGGGCTGAGGCAGGACGTGAATCCCATCTGCGAGCAGGTCACGTCTTTCCCAGGGATCCTCTCCAGCAGAGGCCCGTTAACGGCCCAGCCTCGCAGTAAAGTAACACGAAGCCTTTCGCAGATACTCCCACTGGTCCCACCGTGGTTACAAACGGGGCAGACGCTCCACGGGAACCTGCTCCCTCAGGAGTTCCTAACTTGGAGGTAAAATCCTTTTCCAGGCTGAACCTTGGGCCAGGGACATCAGCACTGGTGGAAGGTGCTGATTAGCAGCCCAGGAAATGGAAAGTGTCCGGTTGGCTGCCAAGCAGCAGCAGCATGAGCAGTGGGGCAGCCAAGCTTCCCGCACTGCGAGCACGTGGCTGAGGCCGAGGGGCCCCTCGGAGAGGAGAGGGGAGCTCAGTCACTCCTCGGCCTCTGTCCTGAGACTGCCAGCAAGGAACGAAGTCAGGGCCCCTGCGGTGGCAGGGCCTGTGCAGAGGGCACTAAGCCCTTACCCAGCAGCGCCCAAACCCAAACTTCTCCTCTCGCCCCCCCCCCCCCCCCAGTAATGGAATGTGTCCACCCCACCCCAGCTGGGAGCAGAGTTGCAGCCGGCTGGGAACATAGCCGCGTCCAGGAGCAGGGACCAGGAGCAGGGGCAGGGACCGAGAGCGGGGGCCGGCAGTGGAGCAGGGGCCACAGCTGCGGCTGGGGGCAGGGCCGGAGTGGCGCTGGGCACAGAGCGGGACTGGGTGGTGCTCCCTCCCGCGGGGGCTGGCATGAGTCCCACCATGCGCCCCACACAGTTTGGGGACCACTGCCCTGACTGAGAGCCACAAACTCACCTCACATCAGACATGGAACGAACCTACAGGGAAAACAACCTCTCTAGACATTTGGCATGTGTGACCGGGAGGGTCCCTCTTGTTTTATGGCTGCTTCCTACCCGCCTCCCCTAATCTCCCCACCTCTCACGCCCCACACCTAAACCCACCAAGCTCATCTAGACAGGCAGCTCTTTGAGCCGGGGACCCTGTTGGCATTCTACATTCATACAGCCCTTGGCTCCATGAGGGCCTGGGCCAGGACTGTCCTCGGCATGACGGTAACAAATAAATTACAGCAAAACCCTGAGTGAGACTGACTGCCCACCGACCTCACCGCCCTGTGTCCCTGCTCCCTCTTTCCACGGCCCCCCAGGTCAGTCTGGGTGACACGCTACGCCGACACACACACAAACCGTTCCTGGATGTTCTTTGTCCCTAGTTTTCAAGGCCACGGGGGCAGACTGTCAAGACTTTCTGTACCCAGCAGGTTCCACGGCATGTTCTCAAGGGGAGAGACTGGCTGCTGGAACTCTGACCCCAACTGCCAGCAGAGCCGGCTGGTTTGACGAGCACCCCAGCGCCTCCCAGCTCACTCCAGGGGCTGGGAGAGGAGACCCAGGACCCAGGTAACACCCAGGAAATACACATGGACTCCCTGGGGCTGGGAAGGGCTCCCAGTGACTGACTCGATCCATCGCTCAGGGCACGGCTGCAGGGCTAATCACATGCTTTCTAGAGCTCCCCCAAGGGGCTGGGACCTGCTTCCTGCCTTGGTGGTGGAGCTGACACCACGGCCTCCCTATACAGTCATATTTGGGATGTTTCCCCTGCTATTTCCCTGGGCTTTCCCTGGGGCAGGCTCATCCATGTGCTAAGGTGCCGTCCTGGTGACTAATGGCAATAGCTGAGCCTGTCTGCTGCGGAAGGTCTCCTGGCCGATCTGAAGGCCATTATTACATCTCCCATAGCTGCCTCTTCTCCAGACTGACCCTGCCCAGTCCCCTGAGCCTTCCACACCTGGCAGGGTTGGTTTGCCAACCTCTCCAAGCTCTCTCCAGCCTCTGGTTCCCAATGCTGCAGCGGAGGCCTGGCTCTCAGCTCCGTGCCATGTGGGGCGCTGGGAAAGGCACTGATCTGACACAGCTGAGCACCGCAGACAATGCTCCCCAGGCTGTGCGGGTGGCCTCCCTGTGGGGGCTCCCGCTCCCCCACAGAGCCCAGTACGGCCAGAGAGGGCAAAAGAAAGGTTCTCTTTGCCTTGGATGTGGCAAAACTCAGCCCCAGTGCTGACTGTCCAGGCTGCTGCTGAACATGCAATCAATGGAGCCCAGGTGGAAGGCAAGCGAGTCTCCTTTCCACAGAGCGAATGGACACGCCACGAATCCACGTGCTTGCCAAATAAAGCCCTTTGCCCCTCTTCTGCTCCTGGCTCCTTGCAGAGGCCTGAAGGCTCCTTCTCAGGGGAGAAACCGGTTAACATTTGGGGACGTCTCCCTTCGGCACAGATGGCGCGGAGCACACCCTGGAGCAGGAATGCATGGCTACCCAGCAGGCAGGGGCAGGGCCAGGCACAAGAGTTGTTCATTTGTGGTGTGCACAGATGTGATAGGGACACTGGCTGGGAGGAGGCTTAGCAACCAACTGAGCTTTCCCAAGAAAGCAGAGCTCCTCCCATGGCTTTGCCCAGGCCAGGGAAGGTGCAGCATCCGGGGCTGGCCCCACCCCTCCCACAACACCTAAAGCCAGCATCTTTCCCATGGCGCAGGCAGCAACCAGCATCTTTGGTTGTAGCAGCAGGAAGCAGCGGTGTCCAGGGCTGCCAGGTTCCTGCTGCAAGCCGGGAGCAGCACGAGGCAGCGAGTGTCTTTGGAAATGCTAAGCAGCACACTCCGCTTGGAGGGCGGCAAGAGGGGGAATCCGGTAGGCACTGGTGACAAAATCCCAGCCGGCTGGAATGGCATAGCCATAAGCCTGCTCACTGAGAAGCCAAACAGTTTCCCATGGACATGAAACCAGATGTGTTGGGCAGAAGCCCTCCCTGCAAACAGGACTGCCTTACCCAGCCCAAGGCACTAGCCAGAGCTCCCAGGGTGCCTCATCATTCCCAGAGCGGACCCCTCCGCCGCTTACCGCCAGCGTCAATGCCAACTCTCAGAGAGCTGCCAGAGCATGCCTGCACTACGGCCCTGGCCCTTCAGGCTGTGAAAAGCCTCACGAGAGACCCTGAGGCCCTGCAGTGCTAGGCACTGAGATTGCTCCGCGCACGTTTAGGCTAAATACCCAGCGGAGGCACTCACATAAAGGCAGCTACATATTCCTCACATGGTTCCAATTTTCCTCATTTGCACGGTCCACAAATCTGCAAGGGACAAAGCAGGAGACCCTTGGGACAGGCATGGGGGGGAACCTTGTTTTATTTCTTACTATCATCTATATTGCAATGGAAAACTGCAGCAGGTTTTGCCCCACATTTTGGTCACTGGTTGTTAGCAACGCTGAGTGCTATTGGCCAGGAGGGATGAGGAGGAAGCAAATGAACATTCAGTCACAAAATCTATTGACGGGAACTTCCCTGCCCTGCATGAAACAGAGCTCTTCCAGCATGATCATCCAGAAGATGACTGTCTTACAAAGGCAGTGGCACCAAATTACAGGGGCAAGTAGCACGGAAAAGCAACCAAAACAACACAACAAATACAAGTGGGTCCCCGTCCCCATGCCCTCCCACATGCAGGGTGTGTACTGGCCCGGTCCCCGTCCCCTCCCACGGGCAGGGTGTGTACTGGCCCGGTCCCCGTCCCCTCCCACGGGCAGGGTGTGTACTGGTCCGGTCCCTGTCCCCGTGCCCTCCCACGGGCAGGGTGTGTACCGGCCCGGTCCCCGTCCCC